CCCCTTTGCCCTGCCCCCCAGCTCTTAGCTCCCCACTGGGTTTCCGATCACTGTCAGTGGAAGGGGCTTCTTCCTGCTTTCCCTTTCGCCTCCCTGCATTGTGCCTACATATGCAAATTAACTGCCATCTTTGTTGGCAGTTAACTGCCATCTTAGTTGGCAGTTAATTTGCATATCATCCTGATTAGCCAATGAAAAGGGTAGCGGTCGTACACCAATTACCATATTTCTCTTTTATTAGTGGAGATATTTTTTTAAAAAAAATAATTCAACATATAATTAGTATTACTCATTTATAACGTTAAATAATACTTAATAAAGTATTGGTCTAGCCTTCTAACTGTATTTTCAAGGCATTTCCCACCAAGATGTCCTAAAGGCACTTTAAACTCAACATCTTCAAAACTGAACTCACATCTCTGGAAGCCCACACCATTCCTCCCAAGTGACTAGCATGGCTGTCCAGGTTCCTCTCTCTTTTTAACCCCTGGACCCCCAGTCATCTAGTCCCCTGCTTAGACGTGAACTCTCTGCTGAGTGCAAACTCTCCTCTCTGACACTAATGTCATTTCAGATTCTATTATCTTTCCCCTTTACCTGAGGTCTCCTATGGGGTGTGTGTATGCTCCAGGGTGTATACCAAACCATCTTTTGGGTAAGTGAAGAAAATATTAGAGCTTCTACTTATATTTTTTCCTCTCATTTTAATATTTCTGGCTTTTAAAATGTATACATTATAATAGTCATATATACATAAGACTATGTGCTCAACTATTTATAATGGGTTATGCAACCAGAATGGTCTGGGAGTGACCAACCTAGTATATAGCAGTTTGCCACCCTGCCTCCAGTCTAACTTCCCACCATCCTATTTTACATCTATGAGCTTACTAGTAAAGTGCTTAGAATAAACGAAGCACTATATAAATGTTAGCTCTGTTATTATTACAACTATTATCATCCTATCCCCAAATTTAATTTTCTGCCACTTAGATCCTTATTACCATGCAATTGGATTTTTACTTGAAAGTCTTAAATAAATAAGTTGATTCTCATGTTAGGATCCCAAGGTTAGCTTCCTGGCTGCTGGTCTGCTTTGCAAGCTCTGTGCGACCCCAGGCTGACACTCTGGGCTCTGGCTAGTTAGAGGAGCAAGACTGCCGAGGTCCAGCACCATAACAAGGTATGTTCCCTCTGCTGCCACCTCTGCCTGGATCACCTCCTGTAACAGACACTTCCCTAAAGCCCACAGCTGATCATTGCCACTCCCTAGCATAGGAAACTTGTACACTTCAGGATATCTGTAAAATAAAGTTCACATTCCCTTGGGAGAATAAAATCTGTTGGAAAGTTGCTACCTAGGATTTGTGGAGTTTTACCTTCTACTGTATTTGCTGAGAGAAAGGAAGGAGAAAGGACAGCAGAGCGTAAGTCTCCAGAGTCAGATGCGAGGATTGAAACCTGTCCCTATTATTTGAAACCATTCCCGATCGGGTGTGATCTTGGTAAATTGCTTCTTGTCACCATGACCCAGTCTTCTTGTCTGTAAAAGTGCACAATGATACCCACCTCCTAGGATTGTAAGGTAACACACAATGTTTGTGGGAACCAACAGGTTTTTAATAATGATAGCAGTTTTCATGGATGCCATTCTGACACCTTCAGAAAGTCTTCCACAGATGGATATTTGACACATTCTAGTTAGGCAAGACCTCTGGAAAGACACAACTGAGCTGAGAACAGACAAATTGGAGTGTTATAGGCAGTGACAACAGGGTTCTGTGTAGAGAGAGGGAGTTGGGAGGGAGAGACGAGGATAGAGGCTAGGACAGGGTCTGAGGATGGAATAGCTTCTCTTCGTAAGGGTGTTGGAGTTTCAACTACCGCTCAACTGCAACGAACTTTATTTCCGTAAGATAGCACATGCAAAGATCACTCCATAAAACACTTTGAAAACTAAAGCAGCACCTTTATTTTATACATACAAACAGTATAAAATGTTTATTATGTAAGAGCTGTGTTTTGTTTACAATATATTATATTGCTTCAAGCCAATGCCAAAAGTTCATACATTATATTCCCTATTTTATTGTGTTTACAATATATTATATTGTTTAAATGCCACTCCCACAGTGTTACTTCTTTTCTTTTTTTATTAGTGAATTCTCTGGAATCATGGTAAGGTCAAAATATATTGTATTGAGAGTTTAAAAAGAAGAGCAATTAAAAATGTGACAAATGTCTAAATACATGACAGTAAAATTTGGAATGCTGTAACTTCACGATTAATTGCTTCATCCAAACCCTTGTGATTTATGCTTGTTTGTTCCATTTACCTTCTCTAGCGTACCCCTGCCCTTCCACACCATGGATGCATTGTGATTTTGGAAATTACCTGTCAACTACACACTGAAAAGACAAAATGTTAACCTGATCAACTGCCATTATATAAAATCTGTCCCAAAGCACTGAAACTAGAAAATCTATACCATCATGCTACAGATGTACTTAGAAAACTTAAAAGGAAGAGTAAATATCAACTCAGTGATTTATAATGAAGCTAATAAAATTCAGGCCAGTATTCTTAACTGTAATGAACATTATTTGAACATTCAACACATGAAAGGTTAACAAAGGCTATGAACTTGGTGTAACTTAAAACGTTTCAGATGTCGGAGTTCACCAGATGTAATTGGATTCAGGTGGATCCTGCCGCTCCTCAGCCCTTTTAGGTGAAGGCGTGTGCTGCCTGAGCCCTGCGCCTGCTGGCCTCAGGGCATGCATGAGGCTGGCTCCGTACCCTGCAAAATTATTCACAGCTTAAAAGAAAAGAAACTACAAAAACAGGCTCTTCAGATTCATTACTAACCATTCAAATGAAATCCATTTTCCCTTTGCAACTCAGAGTGAAAGGCCACAGCAGCCACAAAAAGCTACCTGAAGGAAGAGATGCTACACGTTCAAAATCCCTGTTAAAAGAAATCCATTTTACTAACTCCATCAACTCCGGCTTCCATGGAAAGTCTGACTCACTGTGGATTTTAGCCATGCAGAAACTCCTCATGCAAAGTTTGGATGGATATGATTGAATGGAAGGATCTTCTCCACCCAAGGGCTGGGAACAAGGTAGCGCTGAGATCTCGAATGTAGGGAGACTTTTGCAGGAGGTTTGACTATTGATTCTTCTCACGGCATTGCAAAACTAGCCTCGATTATATTGTTCAATATAATAACCTACACTCTTCATATAGACCACATGATCAGGCTATTGCACTAACACAAAATAGGGATTTTGTAAAAATTAAGGACTTTAATTGCACATTTAGAGAAAGGGTTGTAATTTGAACTGACTCATCAGTGGGGATTTGTGAGTTTAGTCGAGGTGGGCATGCATCTATTTCCAGCTCAGTTGTTGGTAAGTAGAGTGTAGCACTGAGTTACACAACTTGAGACCTCCCTTGCTCCTACTTGTGAACTTTTGTAGGTGCTCGGAGCACCAGCTCATTTCTACTGATTTCTTAAAACTGATCCAAGACAGCAATCACATTGTAAAAATCTGCCTCCATTTTCCTGTGCAATTAGAGTCAAGTTCGGCCTTTCATTTGTTCCTCATGGATTTTAAATGCAAGCATGCCATTAAATACGCACTGAGAACAGAATACTTTGTGCCTGAATGTGTTTCTTTGAATTGTCAGTATGTAGGCTAGTAGCTCATGGGACAGCCAAAACATGAGCCAACAATGTGCTGGAGGAAATCCCTACCCTGCCTCTCGCCCTGCCACCCATGAAGCCCAAACCTCCCTGCTGGTGAGGGTGAGCCTAAGCAGAGAAGTCTGTCTCCAGTATCCTCCTCCCGACTCAGATGCCTGGGTGCCGGGGACCTCCCAACGTGTCACCCCACTGAGAATCTGTTCACAGAACTCTGTGTCTTATAGCTTCCTTGTTACCACCCTCAAGTCGAAATAAACCTCATTCTTTCTGCCTTGATTCTCTTAGGTAATGTATAAAATGGCTGGGTGGCCTCTCCCAGACACACATTTGCATTTTAATCAAGCACCAGGGCATCTTCTGAGTGCACAGTGCCTTGCTCGGAAGGAGGTAGACTGATGAGGGAGCTTTCAGCAGCACAGTCTACAAGTGGGGTGCTATCTGAAGTTGGCAGACCTGTCAGAATTGCTCATCTATGCTCCACGATGCCCCTGGCTTGTCTTCTTTTTGGAAGAGTGCCTGGAGTGTCAGCAGGGACAGTGCCCCTCATACTGTCCTCCCATCACTCTCAGGGGCCACCAGGCTCCAGACATGAGTCCCCGAGAACCTTTGTAGTTGAATCCTGGGATGGGTGGTCTGACCTCATCCCTAGGACTTCTGAAAAGGTAATCTGATTTTGGGACAAGCCTTACAGTTTGTATCCAGTTTGGGGTAGAACAAAAGGTTTGGTTTACTCTTTGCCAAAATAGCTCTAGAAAAGGTTAGTTTTCTATAGGTCTTTTGGTCCAAAGAAGGTTTCCTGGTACGTATGTCCTAACAGGGATACCATTCAACCATCACCACTTGGGTAAAGGGCTATTTTCCAGAGGAGCCACATTTCTTTTTAAACTGTGCCCACCTGAAGCCAATTCAATCTATCCAATCAATTCAGTAGGTGAAAAAGAATGAAGTCAATGTATTAGTGTAGCCTAGATCAGACCCAACTACCTTAAAATAAATAAGCATGTGTACCTACATATAAGTGTATTACATATACATAAGAATAATATAATGTGAGCATTTTCAAATCAGCACAAAAATAAATTTGAGGTTGAAAAATATAAATGTAAATACTTGTTATCTATTTATATTAATATTAATAAAATAATATCAGATATATTTTAAAACGAATATATTTTTCTCAGCAACCCTGTTGATCATTTCCACATTTACTGGGCTACATGCTTCACCCTTCAGAGACCCCTGATCTAGAAAAACATCTGATCTGTAAATGATGTGTTCAGTTGTATCCATTATTTTGGAGACACGATATGCTAGACCAGCGATTTTCAACCAGCATGCCACAAGAATTTTTAAAACATGCAAAATCTGACTATTTAGTCAGGGACACTGACCTCTCTTCCCTTAGATTGTCAAATAAAAAATGACAACAGCCAATACAAGGATAGCATCTGGTGTGAATGCATCAAAATTCTACCTACTTTTTTTTTGTTAGATGGGCAAAATATGTATTTTTAATGTGCTGCAGAATTTTAGTAATTAGTCTGTGTGCACCATGAGATGAAAAGGGTTGAACATCATTGTGCTAGACACCTGTGGACTTCTGTTAGTGCAGGGTGTTATAGGCTAGGGTCTTCCTCTCCTGGAAGCAGAGTAAACAGTGGGTCCAGCTTAGGAGGCTGAGCTCTAGCTGCCGACTACACTGAATCTGCATTGTTTCTTTGGTTCACTTGCAAATTGCCTGTCCCTCCCACCAGAACCTGGGCTCCACTCAGCAGAGCCTCCTCTCCCTGTTCCCTGCTGTGTCCCCAGGGTCCAGATTCATAGTCAGCACAGAGAAGGTATCAACCACGGTGAAACAGTTGTGTTTAGCATGTCTCATTTTGGGTATAAAACAGGCCAGTGGTTTATTATCTCAATAGTAGTTTGCTTTTTATCATCAGTAAATTGGGGGGGAAAACACAACTCCATCATAGCATCTCTCCCATACTTCTTAACCCTTTCTCTCCCTCAAAAGAACTCATTGAAAACATACCATACCAGTACAATTTTTAAAGATTTTAAACAGCAGAACTCTTTATGTTAGATATGCTAGTTGACAAATCTTGAATGACAAAATCAAAGCCATGAAGATACAATTCTGCATTTGATTTAAAATCTTACTTTTTTTTTCTTTTAAAAAATATTTTATTGATTTTTACAGAGAGGAAGGGAGAGGGATAGAGAGTTAGAAACATCGATGAGAGAGAAACATCAGTCAGCTGCCTTCAGCACACGCCCCACTGGGGATGTGCCCACAACCAAGGTACATGCCCTTGACTGAAATCAAACCTGGGATCCTTCAGTCTGCAGGCCAACACTCTATCCCAGTGAATCCCAAAGTGGGCGCTACCGCCCCCTGGTGGGCGCTACAGCGATCCAGGAGGGCGGTGATGGCCACAGGTGCATTTGGGGGCATATATTTTTCTGTTTAAATGCTATTAAAATTTTAAAAAAATTAATTTCCAGGGGGCGCTGAGTAATATTTTTTCTGGAAAGGGGGCGGTAGGCCAAATAAGTTTGGGAACCACTGCTCTATCCATTGAACCAAACCAGTTACTTTTACTTGTCATTGCTTCCATACTTAATAGACCCATACTTCCAAATCAACCTGTTTTACTAATTTAACCTAGGAAATCTTTGTGGTGATATTTTACAATGAGGCATTCTCGTTACACTCTCAAGCTTAGGCTAAAGTGCAGAGAGCTGCAGGCAGCAGGAGGAAGCACGGGAGAGAAGAGGCAGAGAAGTTGCTTTAATGAAATGGAAAGCAGGCTGAGTTATGAGCTGTCTTTCAGTCTTTGGAGCCAAGAAACAGACGTGAAAGAGGCCATCTCACTCACTTTTATTGCAGTGTCTTCCATGCCAGCCTTCCTGACACTGGCATTTGTTGGGCTCATGGCAGGTTCCGTGTGTCCCACAGCCAGGCTCGCAGACAGCTAGAATCAAAGGAGATAAAAAGGATGTTTCCTGAGCTTTCATTTCGCAACAGAAATACACAGCTGTTTTTCTTGCTGTTCTTTAGAATGTGTTAGTGTTGGCTTCATCCCCTCATTTCTTTTTTTTCCTGTCAATCTTCAGCTCCAAGTTGGTTGGGAACTTACTGAGAAGGTCCTGAGAGCGATCTTAAACTAAGCTTGATGCTTCTCATTCACAAGAGACACTCAGCAGGAGTGTCTAACTTTTTATACATGTGTGGATCTCATATGACTTTTTTAGTCTACATAAAGGAAACCTATGTGTCCAGGAAGAAAGGTTCATGTCCAGGTAACATGCAGCAGGCACAGAAGTTATGTAGAACAAGACTACGGCTTCTCAGTATAATCCCTTTCCCAGACCCATGTGTACGGGGTACTTACGCTTTGAACAGAGGTCTCCTTGGTAACCTTTGGAGCACTTACATTTGCTTTTACCAATGCATTTACCTCCATTTCGACAGGATTGTGGGCATTTGCCTGAAACAGAGAAGAATGCAAGTAAGCAAGGAACTCCGTGTTTCATTCGGAGGTAATTACATTTTTCAAAGAAACTGCCAGGCTTTGGGAGGATAAAGCTACTAAATGGCAGTTATTTCCATTTATTTCAGATTTAATCTGGCTTTGATTCTGCTTGAATTTCTTTTTGGAACAAACAGGCTAGTATTTTTACTTATAACTTTGAATATATATCTTTTACAATTAATGTGTTGCCCAAATGCTACCTTTACATTACTTTTTCATAAACAATATTTAATTGATTCATAAGCCCTTAGAATATAAGATATACTAACAGCTGAGATAGGATGACCCTGTAAATGATCTTTCCTTGCGTTCTGAAAGCAGGCTGACACCTGTACCTGATAGCATCTGTTGTAGCCTAAGATTCTTCAGAAAGGAGGGCTTACATGCACATAGTTTATTTGGGAAAGTGATCCTAGGAAACGAGAATGGGGGGTGGGAAGAGTGGAACAGAAGGGAAAGCCAACACGAAAGTATGTTTGTGAGTGGGGCATCACTGTGGCAATCGGGTTCTACCCTATTGCGTCCTGCTGAGGATGGCACCTTCAAGTCTCCTCAAAGAAGGGAGAAGGGAGCATCTATTCATCAGCACCTCTGTCCCACCGGTCAAGGGTCACCCCATAGGATAACTTCCTTGTGCTTCCATTCTGCAACTGTGTGAGTACAGGCGGTATTTTTTTAGGACTCAGGGGAGTATGAATGGAAAGCAAGAGAACTGGAACAGCTAAGATGAGGTGCAATCAGGTTATTCGTGTGAAAATCAGGTTGCCGCAGTAGTGGCTGGAGTGAAAGGCTGGCTGAGAAAGATGTCAGAGGAGCATAGAAGGTGCCTTGATACCACATCTGTGCATTTTTCTGGAATGTCTCAGATCTTAATAACACATCATTCTCCTTCTTTTTTTAAAAAAAAAATCTATATGCCAAATGAGTATTGCTAATGTTTTCACAGATCTTTGAATCACAGGATTTTAGAGCTGAATAGGGCCTTAGATGTAAAAACTATATAATAATTTTCTTTTTACTCCAGAAGCTACTTATTATCCCTCTGTAACCTAGAATTTGCCATCCTAAGGCTGAATTTTTTGAAGAAGTACAAGAGAAAGGTTTGTCCACACAGAGCTGAAACCACATCCTATAACTGGCACAATGATGTTGCAAAGAGCAAACAGCCAGTAGATTTTGGTAGTGGAGGAGTCTGGATATACGTATTTTTGTTATTGTTGTTCTTCTTTTCCACTTTAGCAGAATACTCACTGCAAAGGCCTCAATACATAAGGAAAAGAAATTAAATCTTTATCCTAAAATAACAACCTACCTTTCCTTCTCTAAGTTCTTTTATGGTTAAATGAAGTTTTGAAACAAGTGAACTACTATAATAGTTTACCAACAAGCACTATGCTTAACAAACATGAAGTGAATTCCATTATGAAAATCATTTTGCTAAAAACACACTTTTCTTTTCCCTTTACTTATCCAAAAGGACTTTCTTCACATATAAACCAAATGAAGCAGCATTTGGTAATGGTGAGACAATACAGGCTTAATGTTGAGATGTTAAAATCTCTCAAAAACCTAGGATGCCATTAGACCTTTAGGTTTTTCTGATGCATGGATGTTTCAGAAACAGGAACAACCTTAATTATTAAAACAACCTTAATAATAGAATACTACCTTATTCTAGACCATTAAAAACCCAAAAGTGTCCTTTTTTGCTGGGTTTGGATACAAAGAATAGCGCTTACTATTTGGTTAAGATCCTAACCTTTCCCTAAAGAAAGGGAATACCTAACTCTGAATTTCTGTGTGCATTTTTAAAAATCTGACTCTATCATATACACAAAACTGGATCATATCACAGTACTCTGCAATGCACTGAGGTTTTTCAAGAAAGCAAGATGTGGGACAATAATTATATGGCAGAAAAGATCGAGTACTTATTGTGAAATACTTGGTAAGCTCAACTGAAACCATGTTCTATGAGAAGTGAACGTGGTCACATAGAGAATGATTGGTGGAGAGGACTTTTGCATGAACTTCCTGGGCCTTATGTCTCCTTCGCAAGAGGTTCATGGCAGCCAGGAAAGAGGACATTCTCTCCTGGTTATCACATGACAGAAATACAGGCAACTATGAGAAGGCCACTCCTAGATCAAACCTCATGAAGCCAAAATCTCATGAAGATTGATTATTTTAAAATTCAGAGGCTCATAAGTATCTTTAATATTGACTTCTTTTTCCTGAAAATATTTTATAACCAAATTCTATCCATTAGACAGTGGAAAATTGAGTCAACTTGAAAGATTACCAAAAGGAATTGCTAGAGACAAACAGATTTGATTAAATTTGAACAGTTAGCATTTTTTGGTGGATGAGTCCAGAGAGGACAATGAAATATTGATAAAATAAAGAATTAAACTTCCTCCACCCATTGGATTGTGGGACACCTTCAATTTGCTACTCCACTTCACATAGAAAAAGATTAGAAAGGTTTACAATAATTACCAACAGTCATCATCTCTGGGTTTTAGGATTATGGGTGATTGTGATTATTTCATTCAATACTCTAAAATTTTTACAGAGAACTTTTATAATCATAAGAACCCATGAAGTTATTTTAAAAACCCATTTACCAAACAGTATAATTAATTTGTGTCATTAATTTATTTGAAGGTTCATTAAAAATTTTAGGGAAATCTATACACCTTAAATAATAATAAATATATATTACATCCAGATACCTCTACTCATGGTCTTATTTGTTAACCTACAAATGTTTCTTATAATCAAGTCAGAATGAAATTTGAGAAGATATCAATCCTAATAGAGGCCATAAAAAAAGAAAATATAGATAATATCAACATATATATTTTCACTTAAAAAGACCATGAATAACAAGTGTTGGCAAGGATGTTGGCAGAGAAATTGAAACCTTGTACCTTACTGGAGGGAATGTAAAATGGCACAGCCTCTTTAAAAAATAGTTTGGCAGCTCCTCCAAAAATTAAATATAGAATTAACATACGGTCTGACAATTCTACTCTTAGAGACTCAAGAGACCCATACATTCACACAAAACTTATACATGAATGTTCATATAAGCATTATTTATAATAGCCCAAAGAAGAAACAAACAAATGTCCATCAATTGATGAATGGGTAAACAAAATGAAGTTGGTATAGCCATACAATGGAATATTACCCAGAAATTAAAAAGAAGAATGATATATGTGACAATATGGAGGAACCTTGAAAATACCATGCTAAGTGCAAGAAGTCAGACAAGAATGGCCGTATGTTATATGCTTATATGAGTAGGAATAGGAAAATCTAGAGACAGAATAGGGAAATCTAAAGACAGAGAATGTAGATTAGTGGTTTCCAGGGTCTTGAGAAGAGGGAAATGAGTGAATGCTAATGGGTACAGGGTTTTCTTTCGGGGTGATGGCATGTTTTGGTATTAGCTAGAAGTGCTGCATGATTTTGTGAATATACTGAATTGCATACTTTACAATGGTAAATTTTATGGCATGTGAACTATATCAATTAAAAAATAAGAATACATAAAATAATAGCATTATTTAACTTAAGGAACTGTTTCATCAATGGCCCAGCTATGAGACAATACTCCAGAATTCAAAGAATTACAAAAGATTGTAAAGCAGTTATTATAGTTGGAAGTTATTTCTTTTATTTGCTTTTAAATTTTCTCTTAATTTCTCCTTTATTTTCTGAGGTATCCCATAAAAACACGGGTTGTTATTTTTTTTAAAAAAAGAATATATAATTAAACTTTTGTCTCTATTATACCAGAGGTACTTCTTTTCAAGACCTATTTCCACCTTTTTCTGGTAATGTGGCTCCTGTAATTGAAACAGAAAATTTCCTAAAAGGATTTGAATATGATTTATGATAGGGAAAATCACGAGCTTTCAAAGGCCCACATTTTTGGTGCAGATAGGGGAAAAAAATAAAATAAGAATAGAAAACATTGTCACTGCCAATGGAAAGGTCATAAACCTGAGAGCATGAAAGGGCACACTTATATGAAGAGAAATGAGCCCATAAAACAAAGATTCATAAACATGAACCAACTAACTATGCAAAGTCTGAGAGTAAGTACAGGGCAAAATTGAGGGGAGTGAGCTCACAGATACCTTTATCAGAGCTGGGTCACTAATAAGAACAGAACCACATCCTGACAGTTAATTACATGTTCTATGGAAACTTTAGAGGTATTTCATGTGAACTCTATAAGAAATGGTTACTTCATCTAGTACTCATTAAAGTACAAAAACCCACAAATAAATTAGAAGTTGAAAGTTAAAATAGGAAGTCGGTTTTATTCAATTTTGAACCCACAACTTCAGAAACTATGACTGTACCAAATGCAGTGGTGTTCTACAGATATAATGTGGCTGGAAATGAAAATGCCATATTCCAGAACCGCCAGAAAGGCAGGGGCACAGCAGCCTCCGCAGACACGCTCACATTGCTTTTGCGCCTTCCTGAGCAGAGCTTCCGTGTTACCTGCCTTCTGGATCACAAAGCCACCGAGAATGGAGTCGGCTCGTTTCTGAGTTTAATAGAGAATGTCAGTGACTTGCTGAGGATTACATGGGTGGTAGGTGGCAAAGCCAGGACAGGCAGTTTGATGTCCTGATGGCCAAAACAATGATCATCTACCACATTCTACTTGTAAATTTTTATTTTTTTTGTATTGAAGCATGGCTAATATATAGTGAAGGCTTAACATGCCCCAATCTTAAGTGTACAGCTCAACTATTTTTTTACATAAATAAAACACTCATGTGACACTTCATCAATCAAGATACAGAGCATTTTTGGCAGCCCATCAAGTTCCTTTGTGCCTCAACCATTACTCTGGTTTCTACCATCATCCATTAGTTTGGACTGTTCTTGAACTTCATAAAAATGGAATCATGCAGTATGAATGTTTTTGTGTCTAGCTCCTTTTACTTAACTTCTGTGCGAGTCATTCATGTTGTGGTGTGTCCTATTAGTTTGTTCTTCTTTATTGCTGGGCACCCTTTTTCCTCCTTTTTCTTGAGTCTGCCCTTTTCTCTTAGATGAGCTACTCAGCTCGGAAACCCATCTAAGAGAAACGTTTGGGAAATGTGGCTGTGAGTAGAAGAGAAAAGACTCTATTGTGTACAGGTAGTTGAGCAAATGTCAGTTGTCTCAAAGCTCTGGTCTACATCTCTAGGCTGAACTACAGGCTCTGCACATGAGAGGGGGCCAAAATCACCAAGAACAACGCAGCATGCTGAGTAGCCCACACCCAGACGTAACTGAGTCAGAGAGCCTTTGCTCTGAGTCATTTGAGCTGAGCTATGTCACTCTGCCCCACCTTTAGCCAAGTGAATGGGGGCTGAGTGTAGTGAAAATAAACCACTGGCCTGAGACCTTGGACAAGCGATTCATTGTCTCTGGGCTTCAGATTGCTAACATAAAGGGTTAGATGGAGTTGTTAAGGTCCCTGAAAATAAAAGAGAATGCAGAGGGCCAATACTCACTTATTTCACACTGTTCTCCCTCTAGTCCTGGAGGGCAAATACACTTTCCAGGGTAGAAACAGGTCCCTCCATTAAAGCAGGTAGTTGAGCAGTTCGCTGTGAGAATGATAACAGGGTATTGCGTTAGATGGTAGGTTAAATCTAAAGAAGAAAAAACTTCACTTACAGTTAGGTGATACTTTGGAGGCATCTGCTTCTCACCCATTTACTTATGTAGTAAAGTACACCACTTTTCAAATACAGGAATTGGAACCAACTGCCTGACCATATGCAGACTCCAACAACATAATAGGATACCATGCATGCTATATAGTACCCACCCCGAGGGGTTACATCTTAGTGGAAAGAGGTACAGTGTGTAAAAAATTATTTTTTATTTTCATATAAATATCTATACCATTAAAAGAAGGCCACTATAAATCCCCTGCATTTTTTTAGAAATTCAAACATTGCTTTTATGTAAAACAAACATAAAGCTATATGGATAAGATAGAAATTTTGCATGATTTTTAAAGGTAAAATATAACCCTTCAAAGAAATTTGTTTGGACTACATCTTCAGCTTTCACCCTGCCCAAACCCAATTCATGTCACCTCCTCTCCAGTTAAGGTGACACTCAGTGGACCCTTTGCAAAGCTCCTCACTTATATTAGTACTAGAGGCATGGTGCACGAAATTCATGCATGGAGGGGGAGTTCCCTCAGCCCAGCCTGCCCCTACTCCAACTGGGGACCCCTCAGGGGATGTCCAACCACCGGTTTAGGCCCAATCCCACAGGTTGGACACCCCTCTCACAATCTGGGACCACTGGCTCCTAACAATTCACCTGCCTGCCTGCCTGATTGCCCCTAACCCCTCTGCCTGCCTGTCTGATCGCCCCTAACTGTTTCTGCTTGATCGCCCCTAACTGATTCTGCCTGCCTGATCACCCCTAACTGCCCTCCCTTGCCAGCCTGATCTCGGCTCAGCCTCCTAGGCAGCCATTGGCTCCTTACATTCACCCAGATTTGGTTCTGATTGGTCAGTTTCTATGCCAGTCAGTGTCTCTGGACCTATCAAAACAGGGCCTGATCAGAAAGGCACGGCTGATCAGCAGCCCCAGTGAAGGCCTGGAGAGAAATGGAGGTGCGGCTGTTGGCCAGGCTGGCAGAGAAAGAAAGGCAAGTTCTGATCAATGGCTGCCACAGAGGCTACAGATCAAACCCTGCCTCTCTCTCTGCAGGCCTCTCTCTGGGCCTGATCAGCAGCCCCCTAGGCAGTCAGTGCTGGGTTGGGGTGCCCGCAGCGGCCCCAATCAGTGCTGGGTCACCACAGCAACTCAGCACTGACTTCCGGTCTGGTCGAGCCTTCAGTCGTTACGACCCTGGCTCTTTATTATATAGACTAGAGGCCCGGTGCACAAAAATTTGTGCACTTGGGGGGGAAGGGGGGCCCTCAGCCCGGC